GGCGCGCGCGAGCAACAATTATCATACGTACGAAACTGGTCGTGTTGCAACGTTGCACTTGTATACACGCATTGTATGCATATTTTTCGGTTTTTGCTGCTTGAAAAGATCACTCGTAAAAGAACAACAAGTCCACCATCACCGCGCGTGTAACCTCCACTTCGTTCACCTCAAAGCTCGCGAGGTTTACATGGACGGGCCATTAAAAGCACCCCGTGGTTGCAGCTCACGGTGTTTGATGAAAAAAAGTAAAGAAAAAGCAATACCTTTCGCTTCTTTCTCGTTCGGAACGGATGATCGACTCGGCGACAAAGACCACGAAGGATTCGGAGTTTGTCGAGCGGAATAAAAAAAAAAAAGATACCGAATCCTCTCGTATAATCAAAGGGAATAAGGAAAGAGTTTTTTGTTCGCGCGACGACACACACAGGCACCCATCAAGGGCTCTTTTTTCTTTCCGCGGTGCACTTACGCAAATGACATTATCTTCCCTCGGCTGATGGAACGGCGTTAGTACGTACGTCATGTTGGTTGGCGCGCCAAGGCCGCCGCTGATGCAGGTACAACCGAGACGATGCAAGGGGAGGGCAGAGAAATTGGTATAATAGGGAGCGGTGGGTCTCCAATTTGACCGGCGAGATTGGGGCCCTTGCACGCGCGGGGGGGGGGGGAATCGAGACGAAGAAAAAATAATTACAGAGTCCGGCTCTCTCTACCTCTCTAGATATTCTATTAGCCCGGAGAGGAGCGCATAAATAGTGTTGAGGACGCGCGTGCGTTGTTTATTGCCAGTGGAGCGTTGAACAAACTATTTAGTCTGTCCGTCAAACTCGCCACGAGTAAGAGACTTTTGCGGTACTACCGATGCAAAGCTCGTCCCCGAAACTTTTTTTTTTTTTAGTATCCCTTTGCTCTCACTCTCTCCTTGGCGAAGCTGAAACTTTCACTTCTCTCTCTCAATCGTGTTTTTTTACTCGATATGTAGAAAGAACTAATCACCACCGTAAATCAATCACAGACACACACAGGCTCCGGACTTTGTAATTAAAACACGCGCGCGGAGCCGTTATTTTTTGTTCCAGGCCCCGATTTTCCATTATCGCCGACTGTATATCTCTCCCTGTGCACGAAACACTAAATTACCTATATTTTTTTCCTTTCCCAATTGGATATCTTTATAGGATACTTTTTTTTTAAAAACAACAACAAAAAAAAAAAAGGCAGTCACTTACACAACACACTAAGTTTGTGCCAAATTACAGAGTAGTCCACACACGCATCGCGTTATACACCGTTGGATAACGACTTTCAAAGTAGTTTTGCGGTTTAACGTTCGCGCGACGATTGCGCAATGGGGTTTCTCTGCGTTTACACGATAAGAGCCACGGGTGGGTGTGAATATATTTTTGTCGGTGACGGTAGATCTTTTTGTTGCTGTTGATGGAAGAGTGGAGAGGAAAAAAAAGGGGGTACGATTTCGAGAGGCGGGCCATTAAAATCCCGAGGGATAATTGGCTCGGAAACTAGTATCCTTTCGGGGAGGGAAGAGCGAAGGAGAGAAAATCGAGTTTTAGAGAGGAAGGAGAGATGAGGGACGCGCCCCGGGAGTAATTATAGGCCGGTGTAGACGCACGCGATCGACTAGGATAGGTTCTCTCTTGTCGCGGGGCTTTTCTTCGCTTCGTGTTTCAGGGAAAAGGGATTTTTTGTCACTTTTAAGACGGAGAGAGAAATCAACTTTTTTTTTTTGCCGTGGGAAATAATCGTTTTTTATTGCATTAGACTCGGAATTTTTGGACTGCTCCTATCTCTAGCTGAGAGGTCATCAGGCTTGAGCATGATTTTTCCGCAAACACATACTGACTTTTTTTTTCAATACTCATCATATTACAGGTTATTGTACAGTATATTTGAGAGCGAATATAAAAATATTTTGACACCTAATGGTACAAATTTTTTCTCTCATACTATGATTCGTTTTTTTTTTTTTTTTTTTTTTTTAATTAATAAAGAACTAGCTGTTTTGAAAGCACCGCTTGCATGTTTTTCATCGTATCNTCTTACTCCACTCTCCGGTGGCAACTTGCTAACTCCTTTGGTGGCTATCCTATACGTGTTTTTTTTTTTTTTTTTGCTGAAAAAGAGGTTTATCCCACAAACATTGCATTAAACTTTAAGTAATATTGCAAAATATAACGCGCACAAGTCTGGACGTAGTGATGAATGAAAAGATAAAGATTCCTCCACGAATAAATAATGTAAATGGAATAATCGCGTCTCGCTCCCGTCGGCGGTAACTTAATTGAACTCTTCACTCTTCAACTTCTTGAAAGAAAAGAAAAAAAAAACGTCACAGGATCTCACGGTACAAAAGCAGTGGCCTAAATATAGGAGTCTGGTCTCGGAACGCGGAGCACATCGCACACTCTCCTCTTCCTTTTCAGATTTCTCGAGGTACCACCACGCATTTCGGCACTCGTGTACGTAAATCGAAAAGTCTCGTTCGAACTTTGTCGTCCCCCTTGATTTTTTTCTTTCTCTTTTATTTTACACGCTCGGATCCCTCAGCGCGAGAAGAGGCGACAACTCGAACTTTACGTACATTTCACGCATCTTTCGGTCGGAGGGAAAAAGAAGCTCCTCTCTTGTAGCTGCAACCTTATGGGAGATTTTTTGCGCTCTCTTTTCTTTACATTTCGATGGGCCATTTTTTGGGGGCATTAAGAGACATTACGCTATGGAAAAAAAACGAACGCAACGAGTGGTAAATAATAATATTTATTTTTCAAGCTAAAACAAAAAAAAAAATCACAGAGCAACGCAATATCACACTCGGAATGTATACAACTCGGAGTAGTTACCTAACTTTTTTTTTGTTTTAGAAAATAAAAAATAAACACATCGTCATGCGGACATTTTTTGGGACCGCATGTCGAAGCCTTCGAACTTTTGGTGAAAAGCTGTGGGTCAAATTAACCTAGGAAAAAAGTACATTCCTGATGTGCATGTGTAACTTTGTAATCTCGAAATCTTTTCAATCGCTGGGGAAAGGGAGTAATAATAAAGTCCCGCGATGCCAATTTTTAAGCCACTACCCTGGGCGTGTCTAAAAAAATTACGTATTCTCGCTGGTGAAACTTTTACCATTATGCATACACGTTTTGTATATCGTTATATTCGACTTGTAACTGGGAAAAATGTTTCGGTTTTCTCTTACGCAAGACAAATCTACCCGTGGAAGGGTCAAGTTTGAAAAATCACAGCCGTGAAACAAACGTTTGCGTCCGATACCGATACTCCGTGCTCGTTGGTATGTATCAAGTTAGTATATTTGAAACTCAATCTCGGCATATTACGCGCACTCCGTCACTGTAACGTTACCCATATCGGCAACTTTAGCTTTAATCGCTGCACGTGCGTGGATGCACTCTATTTCCCCCTCATATAGCTATACTGTCCTGAATAAGTCGCGAATGTGTTTTAAGACCGGATAGCGCAATCTTTGGCCAATAGGGTACGTTTTTGGATGGACGAGCCTCCAAAAAAAAAAAAAAAAAAAAAATGAACGAAAAACAGATCTGTTCATAATTTAGGGAGGAAGATAAGGGTGTAAGTACCACACGTGTCTCAAAAACGAGGAAAACGGACGAGCCTCCCCTTTGAAGTTGCCGCGGAAAATAACAATAAGCGTCCCGTTCACTTTTTTCATTTGCGGTGGAAACTGAAGTAAAAAAACGGCTTTTAAAGCGCATATTTTTCCAAGTGATAATTTTATTGAAATATGTTGTACCAATACCACTCGAGCTTTAAAGTTTTCAATTCAATCACGTCCGTCGCGCTTTGAGACGTCAGCATTAAACTCCGAACGTGTACACCAATAACCACAATATCTTCCAAAACCATAATTACGTCCGACTTTTCCCTCGGATCGAGTGCCGGAAAGTAAAAAAAAAAAAAAAAAAAACGACAGATACCCACGAGAGGTGGAAGCGTTTGGCTGCACACGATGCGACTTTAAGACGACGGAGCGCGTCCCCCGGAGTCGAGTCGTTCGGCTTTAAGAGACACCGCTGTGCCTATATACATATTGTACAACGCACTCGCGGCTTGTCGCTTTTTTTTCTCTCTTTTTTTTTATTTTTTTTTTCTTCGCAAACGCACTGGTTCACGCACTCTGTTGTTAAATCGCGTGTACTTAGATACCGATAATTGTAATAGCTGTCATTCGCCTTTTGCGCGTAACTATATTCAGCTCATTACGTACGTCCAGCGAAAACCGTGTTTGACTTTCCGTCGGCTCCGAGTTGACGTTTTGCCCGCACACCTACGTTAAACTTTTGACCATTCTTTAGATTTCATAAAAATTCGTAATTGTTGAAAATCAAACACGCACATCTCGACCCTGAAGGAGAAAAAACAAAAAAAAAAAAAAAAAAAAAAATACACGAGTTGTTGTGAAAAAAGCCATCGATTGTCAAGAGCAAAACGCGAGCGGGCCGGGAAAAACCCTTGGCCCGCGAGACTCTTTCCGAGCACTTGGCAACAAGACAGTCCCGCGACCGCGAAAAGCCAGCGCACAAAAAAAGCTCTCGGGAAGATAATAAATTTTACCGGCATGTCAACGGCCTCTCCCGATCTGTACAGCTCGCGTATGTATACACATGTACCCACATCCGCACGCGGGGGACTTTGGATATTCGCGCGTGCGAGACCTTCGCCGTGAACTTGACTTCTTGCGCCCACGGAAGATTTAGGGTGCACGCATGTGTATATACACATTGACAAAAGGAAGCCAAAGACGCGGAGGAAAATAAAAACACGCGCGCGTGGGACCTCCCCGATTTATGTAAACATTGATATGTAGAATTCGCGTCTTCTACATTGTGTTGTACTCTATTGTATTTTTTTTTTTTTTTTCACGCGGTGTGTTGTGTTTTGCGTGGTGTTACTATCTCGCATTGTTTACGTTTGTTGCGGTGCAGCTATCGTGTGTGTCTTACCTGCGTTGCGTCCGAGTACGGCGTCGACGAGTTTTTGTCGACAAGGAGCGAGCCGAACATCGGTATGCCCGAGTTCGACGGGCTGTCCTGTTGCTGTGGCACCATTTTCGATGTGATTATTTTTTTTTTTTAATTTATTTGTTATATGTGGTCACTTCACTGGTCGGCGACCGATTATTTGCTCAAGCACCACACTCGCGATACAGGATGATTATCTGTTGGAAACAGCGGCGAAACGTCAAAAATCAGAGCCTCCACTGCTGCGCTTGTCCAGTGTTTTTTTTTTTTTTTCTATTTGTATTTCAACAAATTAAAATGTACTGATGACAGCTTCGCTGTTTTTTTATTTTTTATTTTATTTCAGTACTGTAGAAGGTAAGCCGCGTTCACTGCATACATGGGACAAAAACTGTCGCTCGACTGTCCTGCAGTGCGTCCAACTCTGCATGTAAAACGCAACGGAAGACAAAGTGACGATGATAACAGTCAATTGTCGGGAAAAATAAAAGAAAAGAAAAAAACGAATAATTCGATTACGTGCGCGCCCACACTGGTCGCGGCAACGCGTTGTAATCGTTGACAAATTTCGACAGTATGACCGGTATCGGCAACATCATCGATCGAACACAACAACTCCGATTAATGCGCTATACAATCGCGATCGAGTCAATAAAACTCGCGAAGCTTTCCAAAATAATTGCAACGACACCACTAAAAAGCTCAGCCGTGAAGTTTATTTTTTGCAAGCTGATGGTACTTTATCTACTTTTGGAGTCTTATATGCGAGAGACACAATAATATGACGGTGCTCACTCGGCGAGCGCTAGAGACCGACTGACTTGTTCACTCGCGAGCTCCACAGCTATACTGACTGATACTGTGCTACCGCCGGGTATATCCATTCGTATATGTGTGTATATATATATGGTATATATAGCGCGAGAGCGAGAGAAGCTGCTGCCGGTTTTGCTGCTACGACGCATCAGCTGTGCCGTGCTGCCAGCATATAGCGTGTACACGCAGCTCGCAGATACCCCCACCTCCCCCCCCACCCCTCGTTCTCCCTTCCACTACAGCCGCCGCGTACGTGCGCAACTCCCCACCAGCTGGCAGCAGCGCCTGTTGCCGCCGCCACCGCCGCCACTTTCCTCCCCTCCATTCCTGCTTTCTATTTATGTGTGTTAGTAGGAGGATATCTTTCTTGATGTGTGTGTGTGTGTGTAGGGTATCATTTTGGAGCTTTGCGCGCAATGTTATTTAAGTTGTTTTTTTTTTTTTTTTTCTTTTTCTACAGACTGAGTTGTAATGCATTCGTTGATAAAGCGCTCGATGAGTCAGTCCTTAAGTTATATACCCATCGGTTCCGACTCTCAAGGTCCCCTTGGAATTATTGCGATCTAATTTATTGGACAACTTGACTCTTGGTATAGTGAGAAATAATTCATCTTTCGTCATGTGAGAGTTGTTATGTAATAAGTATTATTATTATTATTATTTTTTTTTGTACTACTCGATGCTAGGGGTTGTGTAGTTGACCAAATTGGGGTGGCGATAATTGTGTGTACATTAGATTAAACGCGATCGGATAATTTGATGAGCCGCTCAGATAACTATGCGGGTGGTATACTGTTGTAGGGAAACGCACAAATGATATACGTGTCGTGTATATACTTTCTTGTAAACACACGATTTTTCAAACCTAAGCATACAATAATGGGGTTTTTCATTCAACCCGGGAAAAAGACATCTTTCATAGTATATTTTTGTCCATCGCAATCACGTGGTGTACAAACGTTAGCCGCAATACGGAATCATAATTCTTTGTACGACGTTTGTCTTCTTTTTTTTTTTATTCTAAAAATGAAAATTACGCAGTTCACATTATACAAACACACACGTCGGTCTAATTAGGTATATCGTTCTAATGAGCTCGTAATAGCCCACGTTAATGTATTTTTTTT